TCGAAGATTTCGTATTTCTGCAAATTACCGTTATATGGGAGGTAGGCCATTTGGTATGCTGTAGCAAGACTAACAACTGTGCCAAGTTTGGTAGAAATTGGTGCAGCGGTTACCAAGATATACACATGTATCCATAAGTGGGCGTGGCTACGCCCATTTTCCAAAAATGTATAATATTCTTATTTTTCGTCTAAAAATTATTGTAAATATCAATTTTGAGTGAATAATCTTCAGTAGTTGCTAAAATATCGCAGTTTTCGTATTTCGGAAAATTACCGTTATATGGGAGGTAGGCGTGGTTATTGTCCGATTTTGCCCATTTTCAATACCTTCCGCCCTACGCCCGAAAGAAGTGCACATACCAAGTTTCGTTAAGATATCTCAATTTTTGCTCGAGTTATCGTGTGCACAGACGGACGGACGGACGGACGGACAGACAGTCACCGCTTAATCGATTTCTCTTTTAATTCTTATCATTTACGTATACATTTGTCTATATCTATCTCGATTCGTTTTGCCTGTTACAAACAACCGTTATGTGAACAAAGTTATAATACCCTTGTGCACAAGTGCGCTCGGGTATAAAAATACTTGACGCCTAAAATTCCACATTCGCAACATCCCTAGTGTATACATGTAGCTCATATAAACGCGTTACTAATCTAATCTAGTTCAATCTAATTTGTCATCTTTCAGTTGTGCGGATCTTGACACTATCGTCGTACTGCATACGCAAAAGAATGATTTAATTAACACTTAGCTATAGAAATGCAGCAGCTTCTTGATCGCATTTGAGGTCATTCATAAGTGTACGCGGGCATTACTTGGAATTATATACTTCCTAAATAAATATTTATGTAGAATATGTATGTATGTATGCTTAGCTCTTCGCATTAGCACATAGCGACTTTTTTATTTATTGTGTTAACCGATTTCGATAATTCTTTTTGCATCGGAAAGGTAGTGTCTCAGAGGTAGTCCCATACTAATCTGGTTTAGATCCGATTAGTGGATCATGAGATATATATATATATATATTTTTTTTATATGAGAGTTGAAGTCGGTTTTTTTTTGCTAAAAATTACTTGTATTCTTCCTACTTTTACAGAAAATGCAAATCTTAGCGATAAGTTTGCTGGCGCTGTTTGGCGTACATCAGCTCTATGCGCATAGCATCTCTACGTCACGCAACTTTACCGTTGATTGGAATAATGATCGTTTCTTGAAGGATGGCGAGCCATTTCGATTCATAGCTGGTTCTTTTCACTACTTTCGCGCGCATCCTGATAGTTGGCAACGAAAGCTACAGACGTTACGTGCGTCCGGCTTGAATGCAGTGACGACGTGAGTATCAGAAATCTAGCAATTTTTTTCGTTGCTTAATTAATAATTTGGAAAATGGAAGACGGGTTTTTTCAAATTGACATTTTTAGAATAACTCGAAAACCTGTAAAATTAATTTTGGGTATCTATCAACTGGATCTGTGTATCGTTTTTGTAAGATATTTTCATTTAAAGTTTGCATTGCGAATAAAAAAATGTTAAACTTTAACATGGAAAATGTTACTCTTACGCCATGTACAATGTGGTATATGAGTAATATTATTTCCTAGCCCTACAAGAAATTATTGGACAATTCAATTAACCATTACTGCTGCAAAAACATCGATGTTTGAATGTTTTTGCCAATAATACATCGATAGTATCGATACTATCGTGTTTTCTTAGGAACTATAACTTTTTCTTCTGAATTGAAATTCATTAATTAATTTAATGTTTAATTTGACACATTGAATATTCCAAGTTATTAATTAATTGAATGAAAAACAAAAAAAATGATATAAAAATATTCATAAAGCAACAACACTATTAAACTAGTTTATTTATCCATCGACGTGCATCGCTAGTAGCTTGATTTTTTGACAAAAGATCAGGTATTAATACAAATTAAAAGAAAATTACAAACGACTTGTTTTCTTTTTAATTTTTTCCTTGTTAAAGAGCTGTTTACAGCTCTTAAGAAAAATCACAAGAAATATTTTTAGTTTTTTCAGTTACTTTAAAAAGTACTTTGCGTTTTCTGTAATTTTTCTTGAAGAAAAACTCAACGTGCATTTTTTTCCTGAGAGCTGAATATTATTTTTCATAAAATTAAAATATATGGGGAAAATTACCTGTTCTGGAAAAAGGGTATAAATACCCAATTTTAAATATGTACACGGTGTTTTGGCGTTTTTTGTGTCATTTCAAAACTTGAGTTTTTCCTTACATCGTAATCGAACACAGTGGTAAATACGCCGCCAATACAAAGTTGTCATTGATAACGTCGGATTTGCAACGAAAAGAGCAATTAGCAACTGTCTTTCAACTCACCACAATCTTTCTAAAGACAAAAGACTTTCGTAAGACAATTGTCAACTCTGCCAACTACCTTGAAAGCTCTTTTCTGTCTTCCAGAGGTTAATTGGAAGATCTGATAACGTGGAGATCTTAGAGTGTATATTTAGCAATACTTTTTCTAAAAATTAAATGAAATAAAAAAATATATATATATTTCTTTTAATTCAAAAGCTAGAACATGAAAAGAAGAAAAAAAATAATTAAAAAAAATTAAAACATAATTTTATTAAAATTAAAGCAAATTAAAAAATATCTTTCTAAATAAATAATATCTGTAAAAAACGAATAATCATAAAAAAATAGTTAATAAAAAAATAAATTAAGAAAATAAAACATAAAATAAGTTCCTAAAAATTAAATGAAATTCAAAATTTTTCTTTTCCTTTTAAAATAATATAAGCGTAAATTTAAAAGAAAAAATTTAACCAGAACAAAGAAAAAAAATAGAATAAGTTTCTAAAAATGAAATGATATTCAACATATAAACAAATAAAATCTAAAACCTAAAAGAAAACTGAATAAAAAATAAAAAATAATAAGAAATATGTGTTTCTAAAAATTAATGAATTAAAAGTAAATATTCTTATTTTTGAAACAATGAAATCTAAAAATAAAACAAAACAAATAAAAAAGTTACAAAAAATTAAATAAACTATAAAAGAAAAAATAAATAAATTTACAAAACAAAAAACTCCGCTCCTCGAGGACTCGACTCGGATATCTCGAATGGGGTTTTTGGCGGTTTTCTTTGAAATCGTGATTTTTCGAATATCGTCTAAAGCGGGATTTTTTTATCGAATAAGCAGGTTTCCCTCTAACATATTTATACGTATCTTAAATTTTTGTGTAGATTCAATATATTTTATATTCAATTTTTAAAAGCGTGTTTTGAAATAAATTTAAAATTTTTCTAAAGCCTAAAAATCAAGGAAGTTATATATAAATACATACATGCAGCACCAAATTTAAAAGATCATTTCTTCTAAACAAAAAATACGCATATTTCGAAATTTGCATATCGTCGTTTAAAGTACAAAACCGCGTATCATCGTTCTGCAAAACCGAGTAACTGACATTTGTGCCAAAAATTAAATTTGCTCACCGGAAGCTTCTAATTCTTAATGAGAGAAATATTTGAAATATTTTTCAGATTTTTTGATGCACCAGATCGATGTTTTTCAAACATTTTTTATGAATAAATATTGCCAAGACAATCAAAGAAAAATAAATACTCATAAGAAAGTCAATGGAAGCTGCGGCATAACAAGAATGAGCGCTGAAAATTACATCCAATTGTTTATGTAAAAAAATAGAAAAATAAATAATTTTGCAGAGTTATATTTTGGGAACCCCTTTCCTTTTTAGTGATCGGTTTCACGAACACTGACTGAGTTTTATTAAATATTTGCTTTCATTTGTGACTAACAGTAATAGTCAGTTTCACAGAAGCAATTTACAGAAAAAATAATACTTTTTTTCACTTAAATTGCCTTCGGCCTAATTGAGTTTGTTCTGAAAAAAAAATATGGAGACCGTTTTTTTCAAATTGCCTTTTTCGAGTTATTCGAAAGACGGCTTGAAAAAAATCTATTTAAATATATATTTTTTTCTCTTTCTTTCAGGTACGTGGAATGGTCACTGCATAATCCAAAAGATGGCACTTACGTGTGGAATGGCATTGCGGATTTGGAGAGATTCATCAAGCTAGCAGATGAGCTGGGTCTACTAGTTATTCTGCGTCCTGGACCTTATATATGTGCGGAACGTGATTTTGTAAGTACTGGGGATGGGTAGTGGGGGGTTGAAATTCGATTTTTTCCGAATTTCGAACATTGCCAACCATTCGATTATCCGATTCGAAATTTGGTGGTGCAAATTCGATTTAATTCGAATTTTTTCGAATTTTCCAAAATTTTTTTTCATTGAAACTTCTTAATCGAGTTCGGAGATGTTTGCGTTAAATATTTAACACCAAGTCACAAAATCTGTATCGTTCATTCAATTAAAAAAAATGAGGTGTCAAATTCAAATAATCGCTTCCGCAGTTGTTTACGTTAAATATTTAACACCAAGTCTTTAAACTACGTAGTTTAACACCCAAAACCCCCCCGCTGGATCGGTACACTAATGGAATGTGAAATAAGTTGGGTAACCAAATATACATTTATGAAAACATTGAAAACTCTTCCGGTGAAGAAGTAATCTGTTTCGTTTATCCTCATCACTAACCTTCTATACACCACTGAAGACACAGTGGTTTAATTCCTACACCTTGAAGTTCCCTTCATCACCAGATGAATAAACGTCCTTTAATGGAAATGACAGATAAATGGCATTAGGTTCGAATACTTTTAAATATCTTCGTGAATAAAAAGCATGGAAGAACCCGAATTATTTTCTAACTCCTTGTCAGCGTGCCGTTTTGATACAATTGTATCATTTTTGATACTTCTCTTTTAAAATTTTGTGATTTGTTACATTTTTATTTTGGGATCGCTGATTACAAACTGGAAGTTATTTTTTTAGAAATTCAAAATGGCGGAACATTTTTTGAAAATGTATGGAAATTGGTCGAAACTTTTTTCTCGGGGGTTTTTTAGGTCGCTGAATACGAATTTTAATTTGGTCCTGAAATATAAGCATTTAAAGAGAGTGTCGTTACGTGACAAAAAATGGAAGTTGATTTTTTCTTTTCTTACAAAATCGCAAAACTCTGCGAATTGTGGATGGCTATTTTCATGAAACTTATTTTAATATGATTTGGAGCAATTCTAGTTGGTTTTAGAGTTTTTTGAATTAATGCAAATTGTTTCAATTCTCTTTTACAACCCCAAGTGTGAAACGTGACGTGACGTGGCGTGGCGTCACGTGACATAAATTTCCATCGTTATATTTTTGTTAATATTGCTTTTAAATGAATTTTTAACGCAAATAAAACATGTATTTTATGTAGAATATACTTTATATTTTGACTTCAGCGCCAATTCAGGGTCAATTTATTAGAAATCTATGATTTATTATGTTTCAACCACATACGCCAAATTCGAACCAAATTAGACCATAAATACGGTTTTTCGAAATATCTCGACCTTGGCACCACCTAGGAAGACCATTTTATGCAAAGATGATTCTACTTACATAGCCAGTATATATTTTAAAAAGCAGACAAGTCGGCCCGTAAATACGTTAGATATAAAACTTTTATTTTTTTTTGTCGTGGTGGACCTTCCGCTGGAAACACCCATATTACATATTACTTAACACGAAATAAGAACCTCTGTAAAGCAAATTTTTTAGGCAAACTTTTGGGTCGTTGAACATGAAAAAAATACTCAGGGTTTCAAAGAAGTGTTTTCGAGAATTTTTAGTACTTTTTCCAGTTCCTCGTCATCATATCTCATGAAACGACCTACAATTCGAAAGGTATTGATGGGCCCTTTGCGAAAGTATATAATTTGTGCAGATTTTGTTCCGTAACATCTACATTTCTCATCAGATTTTCCTTTACTGTAAAAAGAAAATGATTGAAATTTCACTTTTTTCGATTTTGGTCGCTTGTAACACTAATAATTTTCTATAGGGTAGTTTAAGGAGCTTTTCGGCTAATTTTCATCAAAATCGGCAAAGTAATAGACTGTAGGTCGCTTATGTTGATTGGATAACTTTTAGCATTTAAATTTTTTGTACCAAAAACAAGAAAATTGGCTTGGAAAATACTTTTTTTCTTAAGCGATTACCACAAGATTTGTAGAACAGTGTTATTGATATATTTAATGCTGTCCTTCATTTTCTCGTCATCCATTGTCCATAACCGTACAAAATTTAGAA